TTCTGATTAGTTCACCTACCAGTCAAAAGAACAATTCCAAATTCGTATCTGCCAAGGACCTACGAACATTTCTTCGCAATTTCCTTTTCTTCTATACTAAACCGTTCAATTTGCAATAATTCCTTTAATTTTCTCTGTATTTCCAGTTAATTACTTGAAGATCTGTGAAATTCTGACTAATGGAAGCATTCGCGACCGTATCTTTCAGTCGACGTAGTTTCTTCAATAATGTAAGTGATTTTTTTTCCCTCGTATACATGGAAATTATGTTTTTATTCAATCATGCGGTTGTCTTTAAGTTTATGTTAAAGTTAGCTGTGATAATATTTGAACTTCGTAGGTGAAGAAAATTGAAATTATCCAGGAGTATTTTTTAGAGAATATAGTGAAATTAAATGTTTGGGCAAGGCGTGTAGATTTGTTTGTTTAGTCCATGTAGAATCAAGGATTTCTCTTTTCCTTTAGGTTTAAAATTGAAATAAAAAATGGATAATTATTCAAATTTGAGTCCTTTTTCATATCCCTCCTGTCTATAATTATGGACTCTGGTGGAAAGAGAATATTTACTAGCATGGTATCCAAAAAAATAAAAAATAAAAAATGAAGGTGACATGATGAATTTTGTTGGTTGGCTTATTTTCAGAGTTAATGAGTATTTCAAATCACCGGACTCGAACCTACTGTTTGTAGGTAATGTTTGACATCAATGAATGTAGAATTTTACCTCGTTCCTGCATCGATTACACTGGGATGCTTCATTATCAATATTCAAATCCCCGAAAGCCGTGCAAATTAGTTTTGTCTGGCTGTTTTGGAGTAGGATCTTGTTTATCTGGTTGCAACGGTCACAATTCATGGCATACAACTCTGAGTAAGTTCCTTCAGTTTTTCCCATCAAAAAGATTTACGATGCTCAATATTATTAATTTTTTCACTAACTCTTTATCATTAAAGTACTAATCCTTTGCTCAAACGTAAAGAGAAGTATAGAGTCTGTTATTCCATATCTTTTTAATAGGCTAAAGAGCCATAATAAAATTCCAAACTTTTAGCCTGCCTTTCTATTAGCCTGAAGTTTATGATTAATTGATTAACACAATTTGGACAATGGAAATGCAGTAAAAATCTAAAACTGCCTTTATTCTTCTGTGAAATGTTCTTTTCTATTTTAAGCCTTAAGGAGGTATAAAAGCATCTTTAAAGACTCTCTAATTTTAAAGAACATATTCTATCATTTGGAGAGCATCTATAAATTTATAGAGTTAAAATTTTGAAATACTCCAACAA